TTCAGAAGCTAAGCTAGGTGGTAAGTATGGGTTTACGTCCGAACGAACGGACAACCGTGTGCGTCTGTTGCAACTGTGCGCGGAGCACTAACCGTTTCTTATAGCACTGCTTTCAAACACAATTGGCGCCGAAGTGCCACATGACGTCCCCCTTATAGCTGACCGGCGATGGAGCCAAATAGATCACGTTGCCATAAGTTACAGGGGGCGTGGTTCCGTCCCATATTGTCGCTGGTTTTTGAATACTTGCGTCTACTCCGATCATGTCTAGGTACGTTGTCGTCTCATGAATTTTGACGGGAGACGTGCCAAGCTCCTTTCTTGATTGGCAACTGAAAAGTTATCTCAATCCCCGGTCAGACAAGCCTACCAGAATGCCCTACGTACCGAACTTTCGCTCCCACGTCTTTATAACATTGGGCTCCATTGGAATAGGATCCCTGTCGCCATGCGCGACGCGGGATCCTCTGATTGTGGCACTACCAGTCGTCACCACCGGCCCGTAGCCTTAAGGGTCGCAAACCTGCCTTTTAATCTAAAGGCGCGCTCGAACACCACTGACCACGTCAGCTTCTACGGTGATTTATCAAATATCTTTCCGACAACAAGTGGCATTCGTCAAGGTTGCCCGGTTTCACCATTTTTGTCCAACTTCGTCGTGGACTGCATCATGGAGTGTTCCCTTGTGGAGCCTTACGATGCTGGTGTTGTAATGCTGCCTGGCGAAAGGTTGGTTGTCTGTGATTATGCGGATGATATTGTCTTGCTGTTTAACGATGTATGGACGGCACAACCAATCCTAAATAACCTCTCTAGAGCGGTCCCATTATTTGGCATGCACTTCGCAGCTTCAAAGCACAGAGTGCTCTTACTGGACCACCAGCCACTTGATGTTCGCTTCACCCTAGCTAGCGAGGAACTCGAGGCAGTTGGTCAATGCACTTGGCAACTGCATGAAATACGATGAGCGCATGTGCACCGAAGTCAGTTCACATATTGCAACAGCTAGAACTATTTTCTTGAACCTGCGGCTTCTTTGGCGACAGGAGGGATTTTCCCTCCGTCTGAAAGGCGGTGTGTACAAAGCCACAGTGAGGACCGTCCTGCTCTATGGAAGTGAAACTTGGCCCCTTCGGTCGGATCATATAAGGCATCCTCAAGTCTTTGATTATCCCTGCCTGCGGAATATTGCTGGTGTCGGATGACACCAGGGTGTCTGCAACTATGATGTGCGTAGGGGAGTACTAGGCAGTGATAATCGTGTTAGTTCCCTAGAACAACAGGTAGCACTGAGTAAATTGCGTCGGCCTGGACACGTGTTACGTATTCCCGGTCACCGCTTACCAAGGAGATCCTTGTTTTACTTGCAAGATGTGGGATGGCGCAAGGCCCGAGGTGGGCAAAAATTAACTTTGCATTGGGAAATGGAATCACTGCTACAGAGCTGGGTGCCGCTCGTCCGTATCCATTTCTATGCTGGAGTCCACGTGACTCGTTTTGTTCTTGGCTCGAGACGTTACAGGACATGACTCACAACAGTGGTGCGTCTGTTGCGGTCTCCTAGTCGGACTACTTGTTTAGCATGTGTTTGATGCTGAGTTATCTGCGGAGTAATGCTTGATAATGATACAGGGCAATGAAAACCGCAAGGGAGCTGTCTGGCTGATGCCGCTTTATCTTTGCACGATAGCCAGCTGTTTGCGACGGCATGTTGTTGATACAAGGTGTATTCGCCTCGACCCTGAATGTTTGTCTAGGGCAATAAGGCTTTACGCTAGGTCCCCCTTTTCTCCCTGTTATTATTCTTCATTCCGTAGGTCGCCTTAGTTATATGACAGCAAAGCATCAGTCCAAATAGCTGACGTACTGATGTTATCAATGATGATGATCGATTCGTCGTATTAAAGACATCTTTGATGTCGAGGAACACCACAGCGGTGGGCCGCCTATAAATGTGGCGATCTTCTTACAACTGACGTATAGTGAAAATGCAGTCAGTACATCTACGATTTTGACCTAAACCGGCTTGCTGGTCACGAATCTGGTTTTAACTGGTGCCAGTCAGTCCTTGAAGGATGACAGAAGCAAGTAACTTAAAGGCACTTGATATCAAACTGATTCCGCGATGATTGCCGCATTCCGAACGTAAGCCTCTCTTGAAAGTCGGAATTATAACGAGACGGTGCCGGTCTGTTGGGACATTCTCCTGCTCTCACAGCTTCACTATTAAGTTGTGCAAGTCACCTATTTGAGTAGGTCCTCCGAATTTGACAAGGGTTGGAGAAAGGTTATCTGCTCCTGCGGCCTCATTCAGTTGCAACAGTCTGATCTCACGTTTGATGCGCATCTAAGAGGACGGCCCAGGGAGAAGGACGATCATTGCCATAAAGGAAGGATGATAACTCTGACTGATTGAACGGCTTTTCAAGGTGTTTGGCCAAACCTTCTAAGCGTATTCACGAACTATAGATCGGCTGTCCATTCTCGTCGCGTGTGGTCTCGCTAACACCAAGTTTCCTGCTGCCCGTTTCTCGTATCAAAAGGAATATGGTCACCATAGTGACCAACGTCAGCGGTTGTTTCCATGTCTGGTGCACCATCAGACCATCAGGATTCGCGATCTCTCTTCAGGGTAGCACGCTGTTTTGCCCTGGATTCTTTGCAAGTCTGGTGTTCGCTCCCCGCCGGAATGTATCGGCGAGAATTCAGAAGTTCTAGAGACTGCGTGGAGACCCAATATCCTGATTGGCGATTTGATTTGCCACATGAAGATATGCTTGTTGAAAGTAACGTCTAGTGAAGGTGCGATCAGTGATCTTCAACTAAGTTCAATAAACTCTTACTCATTTCAGACTCCAGCGTACCTTTATACGCATTTAGAGCACCTGGCTTTGCCGGTTGGCTGGTATCTATGCGCTCACAACGCTGTTGCGTACCTCCGGCGAAACGCATCTGCAGATCAACACATACAAGTGTGTGGTCGGAGTCCACGCTCGTGCTACAGATCAAAGGGAAGTTTTGGCCATGACCTCTCCAGCGGAAACTGATGGCGATGAGGTCGATTTGCTTCCATGGCTGGTTTAGCCTGGGTGCTATGTCATCCTTCTGCGTGTGCTGTGTCGGAATTTACTGTTCGCGAGAAATAGTCGAGCGTTTTCACAGGTGTAGCAACCGTTCGCCGTTGTCATTACGGAAGCCTACACCGTTTTGAACGCCCAGATGAAGTTCGTCAATCTACCATTTTCCAAGTTAAGCGTTCAAATCATCAGCAAGCACCACAGTATCCTTCCTTTTTCTGTAACGAAGGAGCTCGTTCACTTGGTGATAGAAATCATCTTTCATCAAGTCGGTGCTGCAATTGGGGATGTGAGCAGCAATGACGAAGAAGCACCGTTTTTCCGCGCTCAACTTCGAAGCTTTGAACGAGTCAGCCAATATGACGACGCACATCTGGCTGTTGATTAGACTCCAATCGCTCAGGGCAACTTCAATCCGGAGGCTCAGAGCGGTGTCCCCACTGATTTGACTGGCATTTGTAGTCACGTCATCTCCGGGCAAGCGCAATGAGAAGATACCGCCAGCGTCTCATGTGAAGGGTCGCATTATACTCACGAAGCTGGTCTCTTGCAGACGGGTTTCCGATAAGCAGCTGATATTGATCGATAGGGTCACTAGTGTTCGGGCAAGTTTTGCCTGTTGGTCAATCCGTAACAAAGTGTGCAATCATAGGGAGGATCGAGGGCTCCAAATAGAAACGGATAAACTAACTGATCGATTGGATCGGAGCTACTCACTACGAGTGTGTGTGTGTGTGTGTGTGTGTGTGTGTGTGTGTGTGTGTGTGTGTGTGTGTGTGCAGAAACTAAAAGACAAGCGACTATCGAAGCAATATGGGGAGTGCCTAGAAGTGGTGTTTGTAAACTGGGCGATACAAGGGAAGTTGTAACGAGTCGATTAGGTTGAAAAATCGCCTGAGGTGGAATAAGAAGACGGGAAGGCCTGAGCTATGGCATCCTCATCCGTATTCACTCTGATCGATGCGGCAGGTAGCGCACCGTTGATTATCCTCTGCGAAGACCAGAGCATCATGAAATTGTTTGAGGACGAATTCACTATGGGGCGTGGGCAGGATAAGGATACTGTCAGGTTGCCCACGCATCGACAGGCGAACGGTTAGGGTTCACAACCAAAGCCTTTGTTTCAAAAACCTGACCTCAAGGCAGCAGGTTTGTTTCATTGGCCTATAAGGAGTCCGTTTTAAGGAATAAGAAGCCACGCTCACTCCTATCCCCAATCTGGGGGACCAGAGGACTGAGTTTGTCAGGACTCGAACCAGCATAGCTCAATGGATCGCCGAGACACGGGAACCATCGGGTCGCCTAAAGGTTCAGTCTCGCTGCGATTTGTTATCATCCTCAGAGTGCAGCGACCCGGTCTTCTCCATCTGGTAATACTGATCATACCACAGCGTTGTAAATCGTTCTTTTAACCAACGTGCTTACTTCTGTCATCTCCATAAGTGACTGAGCCTTTAAAAAGTCGCATAAACGTTAGCAATGCATGCATTCACCTATTCGGTGGGATGACTACCAAAGGTGACATAGATACCCAGTTAAGTAAACGAGTCGACGACTTCAGGCGGCTACTCGATGACAATGAGAACTGTTGGCCAATCAGCCTGCTGTTGTAACAGACTTGCATATAGAAGTTGCAAAGCGCTTAATGAGGCGCGCGTCAGCCTTTTTAGTGTCGTCCGCGTGCTCTAGTTTTACTATTTGGTCGTCCACTTGAACAACGTCGGTATCTTCCTTTCCTGTAATTCCTCTCCCTGAAATAACTATTTTTACTTTTAATTGCACTGATCCCTTACCTGTGTCTGCCATTTGTTTACGAAGCTGGATCTATTCCGTATTTCTTTTCCGATTGGTGCTATGCTTCGCTCATCAGTCTTGTGTGCTTCTCAAACCAGCCCTCCTCTTTGTCCCACTACTTCTCATCAGGGGATGAAACTTCTTGGAGACGGAACCCTCTCTGTGAACGAACGTCAGCGGTCTAAACCTGCAGTTCACATTCAGTTGCGATTGTGTCCTACACGCGGATAATGACATGTTGCATCTTCCTTCTCACGGACAGCTTTTTTCTCCACATCACTATCAAACTGCTTTGTGATCTTGTGGGATTATTTTGTTATGATGAATTATAGCTCTTGAGATCACGACGTCAGCTTGTGTATTTTAATGATTAGAATGGTATATGGTCATTTCCTGTTTCTTGCTTTAGCCCCCTAGCCTCTTGAGATCCTAGCTCCTTGTTGCATGACACTCGGCCTACTGACATCCGGGAAGAATCCCACTAATTAGAAGGTAAACTACCCGACTAATTTGTCATTCAAACAGCCCAAGTTCATGCTTGGATCAAGTCACAATCCAGCCGCAGTTACTCACTTGCGCTCTGCTTAGTGACAGTTTGCACACATTCATAAACCAACTTTTGCAAACCCCGTTCTAAGTAATCGTTGTTTACAGTACGTTTTTAGCATGATTGTTCACCGTCTCCACATAGGTATGAAACTGGCGCCAGTGTAGCTACAAAGTTGTTTACCTCGATTCTCGTCCGCCGTCTTACTGCAAAATGGGAATCCTCGTTGGGCGATGAGCAGATCAATTTCCGTTCAGGATAGGGCTGTGTAAATTCCTTATTCACTACACCAGTTTCTAGAACAGCGTCACACTTACTGCAGACCGATACTATCTGTGTTCCTCGACCTCAAGAGTACGTTTGACTCAGTAGATCGATCCATTTCGTTTGAGATGCCTGATCCTATGGACCTTCACATCAAGTATCTGTGTTCTCCGTCTTTTAATTAAGTTCTACATGTCATACCAGAATCAACGATAAGTTGTCAGGCACATCTCTGATAACAATTGGAGTTCGTCAAGGTTGCCCGGTTTTTCCTTTCTGTTCACTTTTTCGCATATTCCATCAGGGAGCGTACCCTTCCGGAATCTCACAATGTGCTCTCTCTCTGAATTATATGGGCCTATCGCTTGACGTCCTAGTCACTCCCGAGTAAACTTTCTGGTGGTCACATGGTTTGACATGTGCTTGGCAGCTTCAAATTGTGAGTGCTGTTGCAGGACCACCACCCACTTGATGACCTCTTGGTTTTTGACGACGAGGGACTACAATTAACTGTCCAGCTGCATTAACAGCGATGAGCGAGTGACTGCTGAAATGTATTCACGTGTCTCGAAAGCTTGCAATGCAATCTATAACGTGCAATATTTCTGACACCAGTAGTGGATTTCACTCGGTCTGAAAGGCCGCAGACACAATGCTACAGTGAGAGTCTTTTTCCTTTGTAGAAGTAAGACTCTGTCCCTTCGTTTGGAGAATCTGAGACACTTTTAAGTCTTTGATCGGCATTGTTTATTGAATATAGCTGGGGTCCGATAGCACCAGTATATCCGCAACGACGATCTGTGCAGGCGAGTTCTAGACGAAGCTAGTTAGGTTATTCCTCTCATTAACTAATCAGTAGTTAGGATTTAGATGTAATGTCAGGTGTAGTTCTCCGCAGCAGGCGAACTCAAAAATCAGTCCGTCTAGCTTTAAAATACTGTGTCGCGCACAGTCACTATATGGCAAATCGTAGCTCCTGAGGCCGACCCCTGTCCTCTGCACGGTTCGTAACTGGCATGGCAGTGGAGGATGAGCCGCGCTATATCGTAGTCAACTCTCAGTCATGCTGGTCCGCAGCCGTCACCCATTGCTCAGGGGCACAAGTTGCTGACATCCGGAAGTCTTGGGGTTGAACCTCGACAAGGGTACGAGGAACGCGCACCACTAACGAGACCCAGGTCGAAGCAGATATCTGGTGCTTTTCCAGACGTGTCGGAACCTGCTGTCTGAGAGAGGACTGCGACGAGCAACATCTGGTACTTCTCTAATACAACGGATAATATCGATTAATTTTCGTTGGCTTTGGTACATGCTACCTGTGAACTGCCACCGCTTACTTAGGAGGGTCTTGTTTTGTAGCTGGATGTTGAATTATGCAAGGCTCTATGGGCAAAAGTTGACCTATAGGTGGGAAAGGTGGTCACTGGCGACTAAACTGGGTTCTGTCGGTCTCTTCCGCCTTCCAGTTTGGAGTCCACGCGACTCTCCTTGGGCTTGACTCTAGACTTCACTGGACCTTACTCACAGCCAGCATCAATGGCACGCTTGCTCTCATCCCCTACTTTTAGTGCCTGTTTGTAATGTGCTTGATGCTGAGTTATCTGTGGATGTCGCTGATCGCAATGCGCTTTAGTAACGGGTGCAAGGAAGCTGTCTCGCTGAAATCACCTTTTCTTCGTACATTGGCCAGCCGTCATTGACTGGATGTTGCTGCAAGACTCTAGGTGCCTTGACCCTGAATGTTTGCTTAGAGCACCTAGGTTTTAGACTAAGCCTCCTTTCCTTTTTATTATTTCTCGTTCCCTACTTCGTTTTAATTTTACGTCGACGAAGTATGGGTTCAGATGATTGATGTACTGCTTTTGGTAGTGATGATATTATTTTACTTCTAATTCATGTTTAACCTGTACTTTTATACTTTTGAAATCTTTTCTTCCTACTGACGGCCGTTAGTTCACCTACTGCATGCTTAAGTATGTTAAAAGTTTCATGTGTAGGTGATCTGGTTTTTGGCTCAATCGTCACTGCAAAGTGTTCTTCTGACATGTTTTCTGAGCTGAAAGGAAGCATTTTGCTTTCCCGAGATGGTCAGTCAATCGTTAATAGTTTGTTTAAGTATGCGTGTCTTTTGGGCGGGTATTCCCTAAGCTATTACCGATCAAACTATCTCCCAAGATGTCGTGCTTCCAACTTGACGTCGTCATTCCGGTTATTGGTGGTGCTCAGAGTCATTGAGAAGAAAATCCAGGCCTTAACTGAACGCAATTCTAGGAACAGACATGATGGATGCTATATAACTGCTCTGTCGAAGGTGTTATATCTTCCCCTTCCGCTGTTTCTCTGTTACTAATCTTTTTCTTTAAATTAGCTCGACAGTGCCTTGGTCTCAACTCACGTACACCGACTGTCCACCTTGGTCGCTTTCCACCATCTCAGGTTTGTCTCAGATTATGGTTGCATATCGCGCACACGCCACTAGATTCGTCAGCATTCTCCTCTACTTTGTGCGTTTTTCGCAACATATGTGCGACACTTCCTTGGTATTCATGTGCTCTTTCTCCGGAACAGGTATACAAGATAACTGCGTGACGAATCTTCGACTATCATGTCCCAAATCTGTCGACAATGGCCGCACTCTTCGCGTCTTTGGTGCTATTGATTCAGTGGTGTAGGTGTCCTCCTCAGTAAACATGTTGAAGCTGTCCTACTTGAATTGATACCAGTGAGTAGCTGTATATGTGGGGTTCGAATTTGGACCTCCCATGGGGCTACTAAGCAAGATAAAGTGTCTTTTCATCGTTTCTGCTTATGCCTGAACCCACTGTAGCTCGAGGGGTATGAATGACGAATTCCGCCGCCAACCCTCATCTCCGTTTTGCAAACAATAATGATCTTGTAATTGTTGCTAGTTGCATACATGCCTAGTTGGTGCATGCTGGTTTGGTAGTCTTTCTCAGCCGATATGGCTTCTCAAGTGGATCAGCTACCGAACTGGTGGGTGTTTAGAAGTTGATTTACGAAGTGTCATGCACTGATCGCGGAGCTCAATGGCCTAATGGTCATAGCGGTAGCGGCCAAGCACTATGCGCCGAGTTCCACTCCCAGTTCGGCTGTCTCTACCTGATGGGTGTAACCAAAGACGAAACCACCGGTCGTGGAGTGCAGGGAAGGGAGAGAGGCACACCGAAACCCTTCACTTCGGTGACGATCCCAGTGACTGTATTGGTAGTGGCTGACTTCAAAGTCAACCGAGGCCACAATTGAGATTGCGTGTCGCAATCCAAGACACACGGCAGCAGGTGCTCTAAAACCCGAAAATCGAAATCATGTTGAGCTATTCCCACAACTAGTGCTGTTCATTATCCCCATATTAACAACATTACTTTCCTGCACGAACGTTCGCGTTTTATTGCTTGGCACCCACCGAACTGCTCACTGATATGGACCCATATTACCTTTAGCTACAAATAGCATACATCGATTTAAGTCTGCCGTCCTATTCGGATTGCATACCTTTACTGCGACCATGTTCTGGTGGACGCGCATGGCGCTCACTCATCCAGCTCTTACGATGCGCTCATCTTCTAAGCTTCTCGCTTGTAACCTGGGCTCAGTCCACAATTTAGCAACATCACTTTGAACTGACTCACCAGTGGTCAGTGATTAATATGATCAGTAAGTACAGTGCTGACTGGAATCGACCTATATTTTCTTTGACGTCTGCCATACAATCACCGAGTCATTTCAACTGAATGAATTTTGTGTCGTCTGTCAGTGCTCGAAGCACGGCAACTGGTTCCGCTAGGTACTGAGTTTCGTAATGTCCGTAACACACCGAAACTTCGACTGACAAAGAGCCTTGGAATTGCCCGAAAACGTTGCTGGATGACACTGGTCCATGAGATGGACAAAGCCAGTGCCATTGAAAACTATCAAGTACTGTTCCAGCTCATCTAGAGCAATGACCTAGCAAATCCCTCAGTTAGTGCGGCATTAGCTGAGAATGTAGACAGTCGACCAGCTCTCAGCCTCGTCAACTAGTCCATTGGGCGTAACCTTATGTAGATCATTTCAGTAGATCTGTGGCATCGCAGTTTGCTGAATCATCTGAGGCGACATGGGAAGTTGATGTCACACCTCACTTGAAGTGAATCTACTTGAAATCACTGGGTGAAAACAAGCTACGACCTGGACCCGCCGATTTCCCTCCATCTTTGCTGAAGGGCGAAGGCAACTCTTTGTTGACTAGACTTACTGATGTATTCAGCTTTATCTGGGACACTGAAGAAGTACCTTCAGACTGGTGACTGTCAGCTGTCGTACCCATCATCAAAAGCAGTCAGCGGACTTTGTGCGAAAATCAGCGAGGCATTAGCCTTCCATTGCTTCCAAACTTTCACTGGTATCATCCTCCGTTAACTCCGAATCGTTGAAAGCCAGGTTTGCTTCCGCTGTGGTCGTCGTTGCATCGACAGGATATTTACCCCTCCTCAAATCTTAGATAAACGACTCACAGACCGACCGGTTTTCCTTAACCTA